GCAGGATTAAAGTGGAGAGTGGGAGCATTGGAGAAGAGATAGCAAGTGTTAGGGACTAGGTAGAGGTGGCAAGTTGGAGGATGAAGAGGCAGAGCAGGAGAGGCAGTGAAACAGGAAAGACGGTGAGGTGGCAAAAGGAAGAAGTGTTAAGTGGAAACGTAGAGGGAAATGAAACAATCAGGAGAGGTGGTGAATGAGAGGGTGAAGTGTGGAAAAGCAGTGAAACAGAAAAGTTTTGAAAGACAGGTGGTTTGTAAGATGGTCAGGAAGTGAAGTGACCAGCAAGGGGAGAGGCAGGTGAGTGAGGGTGAGGGGATGAATGTGTGGCAAGTGGAAGAGGTAATTAGTAGAGAGGGTGGCAAGCAGGAAGTTGGGGATAGAGGTGAGGAGCAAGAGAGGCAGCAAATAGTTTTGGAAAGAGTTGGTGAGTAGTAGTTTGTTTTTTAAAAAGACTCAATGTGCTGTAAGTAGATATACTAAAGTCCACATTTACAAACCCCACTAAAGTTTGAAAATATACTATCAGAATCTGTCTTAAATGGAAGACACCTTCATAATATTTATTCCAAATTTACAAAATACCAAGGATCACAAATACTATTGCTAGACCTGGTTCTTGATAATGATGTCAGCCAAATGGATAAAGTGTCACTAGGGGAATATCAGGGGACAGTGAAGGTTGTACCATAAAGTTTAGTTTGTCTATGGGAAACAGAAAAAGAGTAACTGGTAGCAAGAATAACTAACTGAGGGAAAACCAAATTCAATGAAGAAAGAATTGATCTGGCTTGGAACATTGGAATCAAAGGTTGGAGGCAAAGTTGTTACTGAACAACGGGCTGTCTTTCAAGAGGAGATAGCTTGGGCAAATAAATCCAAAGGTCTCTGTAAAATGAAATTAAGATAAAAATGAAAGTCCTCTTATACCAAATGTCCAGTAGGTAATACAACTAAGAACGAAACTCAACTGAGAAGGCTTGGTGAGGAGATGAAAAAACAAATGAGAGAAGCAAAGACAGAGAAGGAATGGAGACTAGTAGCTAGCAAAAAAGGGGAATCCAAAATCTTCTACACATGTATTTACTTGTTTATTTATCTTCACTAAAAAAGATGCTGCATAGGTCATGGTGAAAGAGGAGGTAATTCAGACACTTGGAGGTAATATTGAATGCACTCGACATAGTTTTCTAGTCTTCCTTGGACTAAGAATGGTGACAGAGAACTGGAGAAGAGCAAATGTTATACTCCTGTTCAAAAAAAGTGTGAAGTAAGCCCAGCAACTACAGGTAGTTTAACCTCAGTAATTAAGAAGCTTCTAGAAACAATAAATTACACAAAATAAAATGCCACTTAGGTGAATGCAGGTTAATTATGGAATTAATTATGGTTAATTATAGCCCTGTTAAGACAAGTCATATGTTCACATTCATTGCTGCCCTTGTCCTTCTAGGAATTTGAGGACATAGGTTTCTAAGGTGATGCAAAAGGAGCCTTGGTGTGTTGCCATGATGTATCTCGTAAATCGTGTACGCTGCAGTTGATAGGAGAAGAGAATAAATGTTTAACATGTTGGACCATTTTTTTCTTCAGTCTACTATAGGATGTGGGTCTGTCTGGCAAAGCCAGCATTTATTGACCATCGTAGTTGCCCCTGAACTTTGAGTGGCTTGCCGGGCCATTGTTGGGATCAATCAAGAATTCATAAAAGTGTTATGGTGCAGAGGGAGGCTGTTCAGGCCTATCTGTATGGCTCTCCAAGTGAGCATCATGACTTTCTGCTTTTACTTTTTTCTTTCCCCCATGCCCTTCCACATTGAAGCATTATTTAAATAGAAACAGTGTTGCTGGGTCAACCTGCCGGACCTCCTTTCCTCATAGCATTGTAGGTCCACCCACACAAAATGAATTGCAACAGTTAAAGGAGGCAGCTCACCGCCTACCTTCTCAAAGGCAACTACGGTTCAGCAATAAATGCTAGCTCAGCCAGTTTTGCCCACATCCCACAAATTAATTTTAAAAAGGGTTTGGATCTGGAATGTAATGCCTGCAAGTACAGTGGAGGCCAGTTCAACTGAGGCACAGATGAGAGCATTGAATGATTAGCTGAAAAGGAAGAACATGCATTGCCATTGTAGAAGGCTGGGGAGTAATATTAGGTAAACTGCTCTTTCACAGAACCATCATAACATGTTGGACTGATAGGCTTCTTTCTGTACCGCACTTTCTATGATTCTGTGCGTGAACAAGGGGAGATGGTGGAGTAACACTAAGGTTTCTGGACCAGCAATCCTAAAATTTTGGCTAATGCTCTGGGGACATGGGCAGCTGGTGGAATTTAAATTTAATTTATAAATTTATTGAATTACACATCAGTAAGGGTGACTAAGAAACTGTTATCTGTTGAGGTTAAAGCCATCTTGTTCAATAATGCCCTTTAGGAGAGGGAATCTGCCATCCTTACCTAGTCTGGCCTATATGTGACTCCAGATCCACAGCAATGGCTTTTTTGTGGTTAATTTCTAGTCTTAAATAGAATAGTGAGAAATCATGGCTCCCAGTTTTAAAGAAACAAAAGGTGTGCTAAGACAGGTATAAGGCAGAAAATATAACTGAGAATCAACAGGAATACCAAAGGTTTGAGGGGCGAGGAGGTGAGAAATCAAATGGAGAAGTCAACAAGAACTATGAGAAAAGACTAGCAGCTAACGTGAGGGGAAATCCCAAAGTCTTCTATAGGCATATAGTACATGATTAGAGGAATAGGGTTAATCAGAGACCAAAAAATGGATTTACAGATGGAGACAGGGAGCGTGGCTGAGATATTAAACAAATACTTTGCATCTGTCTTCACAAACAAGGAAGATGCTGCCCAGGCAATGATGACACAGGAAGAAGCCCTCAATAGAAGGGACCAAAATTAGTAAGGAACAAGCCTTAGGTAGCTTGTTGGCACAAAGTTAACAAGGCACTGCACCAGACGTGATGCATCCAAGGATTTTGAAGGAAGTGAGGGTTGAAATGATAGAGACACTGGCCATAATATTCAGTCTTCTTTAGACTCTAGAGTGGTGCCAGAAGACTGGAGAATGGTTAACATTATGGCCATGTTCAAAAAAAGATTGTAAGGCTAACTTCAGCAATTAAAGACCCATTAGTTTGAACTTTAGTGGTGTAGAAACTATTGGAAACAATTGTATAGGATACAATCAGTAGTCACATATAAAAATGTGGATTGATCAGGAAGAGTCAGCATGAATTTCTAAAGGAAAAACATTAAACATTTCATGCTTAAATAATTTGAAGTTTTTTAGAAGCGGTAATGTAAAGGATTGGTGACAGTAACACTTATGACATAGTATACATGGATTTCCAGAAGACAGTGCTCCATAACAGATTTACGAAGAAAATTGTAGGTCATGGTATAAAAGGACAGTGG